GTGGCTGTTTGTTGTTTCACCTATCAATTCGTGTCGATAAAGTATAATAGGGTAAATCCTGTATAGTGATTTATCCTATATAGTGCTTGCATAAAGCAAGTAGTGCATACACTTGTAGCTGTTATGTATCTTTGTAAGTCATTGCAAGCCCTCTTTTGAGGCACGCGCAAGCGCACGAACACCCCCCCCCCGTAATAAAAAAAAAAACAAGTGGGCTCCCCCAAAGTCCACGGTATAGTTCGAACACTGTGCTGATCACATGCAACAAGCACTCAACGCAATCAGTTTAGTTGAATATGCAAAAGAATCAGGCACAAAGAACCATAAGTTATCAGTCTGAAGCAATTTAATGCCCTATATATATATAGAGAGAGAGAGAGAGAGAGAGTCCCATATTTTGATTGTTTTAAAAATGCTGAATAATGAAAATGAAAAAGCATGTACTTTCTGTTGCAAAAAATACATAAAACATTGAAATTATATAAAATACAGACATATACTACAATATGTCTGGAGCAATAACAACAACAACAATAATAATAAAATATCAAATTGCTGAATATATTCAATAGAATATATAACATAAATGGGTAGAGAACCAATGGCGTTATGTATACTTAATGCTAGTGAGACTAGCATTAGAACTAGAGTAGTTAAATTCGGATGCTTAACGTTGAAATAAATGGCACTTTAAAAAAAACAAAAAGTACGGCACAAGAAATAGCACTGTTTTTGTGTAGTGGGAAAGGAGGAGGCTGCAAATGAAATCATTAGGAACCCAAATCGTTAAGTGGAATCAGAACCAGAATCATTAAATTCCTAACAATTCCCAGCCTCACTCCCTCCTCCTCACACTTACAACGCAGACTTTCCCAGGGGGAAGGGGCCGCAGATCATCGGCCGTGCTGCGTCATTTGTATATTTGAAAATGAAATCCCACATGGCATACCTCACGCTGAGAAAATGGAGGCATTTACCCTGGCTAGCTCATCTCTGGGAGATAAGTTTTCATTAGGATTCTCATTTGCATAAAACTTGTTTCTCTCCCCGTTTATGCCACAGTTTGTATCTACACACCACGAACGAACGTTTGTTTTTCGAACGACTCCAATTTGGTTTGATGACATTTCACCTTGATTTAACATCAACAAATACGCCAGTCCACTGATGCCTGGCGAGTAGCTTAACAATTGATTGGTAATTATTGCAGTTAACAGAGCAGACGAACATCAATAGGAGGATCAGGGGTCTTATGGAGGGAGGATGGGTGGTCTATTGTTCAACTATGGATAGATATGTGTCATGACCATTTTTGTTCTCTATTTACAGGCGCATTTAAAGAAAAACGTGGGATTTGAGCTAACAAATGATTCATTATGATGAAAAGAACTGCAAACAAGACTAAATGGCGTGATCCTGTGTCTGATGGGGCCGTAAAATCCCAGGCTTGTTGCTCTGTGAACAGGAGTCGCTGCCCATTATTGCTTTTCATTTGATGCAGAACATCAAAGATATCCTGACCTGGAGTATTTAGCGCTAATGTGGCTGAGTCCTGAAATAAATCTGAAGTGAGAATTTCTAAGTAGTTTCCAGGCAATTGAGACGGCAGGTCCTTTTTATCTGCTCTGAAAACTGTGGTGGTGCATTGATTTCGACTCCTTCTGAGATCTCAGCCGCTTTTAGATTCAGCACTCCTGCTCTTTCCATCTCCCTCTACCCTCATCTTGCTCTCTCTCTCGCTCCTCTTTTTCTATCTGCTCTTTTATTTCCCGCAATAAAATCTTGGCATTTAGCCGTGCGCCATCTCCCCCTTAAAGAGATTCAGTTTGGCATCCAAATGTTACAATGACTATGCATGAAGCTCTTGTCCTTTTTGATTCGCACAGATTGACCAACACACTGGGAAAATACGAGCAACTGATATTTTGTCTAGTGCTTCAGGTAAAAGACTGTATCTTTATCGAAGTCACTGGAAGTAAATATGTTTCACAAGCCACTGAACCAGGGGACTATATTTAGTCAATACAGTCTAGTTTGGCGTCTGACAAGAGGGTGTAACCTTTACCCTTTTGTTTATGGATATAAGCAGTGATTCTTCTGTTTGTTGTGTGTGTGTGTAGTCACACACATGGAAACAGCTGTGAATTTAAAAGGGATAGTTTACCCAAAAAATGTAATTCTGTCATCATTTACTCACCCTTATTTAGTTCTAAACCTGTATGACTTCCTTTCTTCAGCAGAACAAAACAAAACAAAACAAAAAACAAAAAAACAAAAACAAATGTCTCACAAATGTTGCAACATGGCTTTGTTGTATTTTTGGCATAAAACATACATTCTGTCAACAAATAACAATTGTCATTTTTAATGTTGATGTAAAGCTGGTTATTTTTTTTTAAACAAATAAATACTGCAAACATTGCAGTTTAGTATGATTTAAAAAAAAACATATTGTACTTAAAAATGATGTATATGTTATGAAAACCTGTTAAGTTTTTTTTTTTTTTTTGGTACAAGTAAATTTGTATTTGCAAATAAATAAAAATTTTCTTCAAGTAGCAGTTTTTATGCTTGACATTTTTTTGGTTTTCAAATACATAAACTGTATTGCTCTGTAATGTTCTGTTTACAATTTGGATTCTTTTTTTAAAACTAGGATATTATATTGTAATGTAATTATACTGCAAACAAACAGCAAAATTGTAAAACCGTTTTGTGAAACAAAATTACAAAATCATTATGCTGTCTGGGCCCTTTTATAAACACAAACTCTCTTTTTTAAATGTTTAATTTAAATAACATACATTACTTTAAAACTAAAACGTTTCAAAAACATTGTAGTTTGATTGGAGGTTTGTGACATTAGACATTATATTGATGTTATGAGGCTACTTAAAGAAAACCAACAAGGTAAGCATATTCTCAATGTTTCCATAACATTTTATTTTGGTTGTGTAAAAACAAGACATATTTGCAACTAAAATTATCTAAAAATTGACCTAAAATGATCTAAAAACATAAACTGCATATCATGCTCTGGTTAAATATGTTTAAAATTCACAGAGAACATTGTACTGTAACAATCTAACTGCAACCAAAAAGCAACACTGTAAAAATGTTATGTGCTTTATGGGGCTGAGTTGTTAAAAGTGCTGCTAGTTAAAAGTGCACTTTGTGTTGTTGAACAATTAAAAAAAAAAAAATCTCACCCCTCTCTATGGAAACATTTAGCAGTTCGAAACAAAATGACAAAATTCTGATGCTTTTTGGGCCATATAAACAGATATTAGTTTTTTAAGTGTTTAATTTAAATGTCCAAAAACGCAGTAGTTTGATCAGAGGTTGTATAAAAATAAGACGTAAGGTCTAAGTTGACCAAATATGATCCAAATATGTAAACTGCAGATCATGTTCTGGTTGCAATTTTTGAAAAATATCCACTAATTTAGAATGTTACTGTAAAGTAACCTAACTGCAATCAGTGTAAAAGCGTTGTGTGCTTTCTGGGGTGGATTCTAACCACATTGCTTGTTAAAAGCTTGCTTTGTGTTGTCGACAAATCTTTTGTTTTTCACCCCTCTCTACGGAAACATTTAGCAGTTTGAAACGAAATTACAAAATCCTGATGCTTTCTGGGCCACAAGTCATTTTTACTACTTGATGACGGTCTCTTTATTGCAGCTCGCAACTGTTTACATGCACTGGGAAGGACCCAAATTACAGTGTGGATCATTAAGATTGAACCAGCTCTGCCATTAGTGAAATATTGCTCCATTGCCCCCAAAGACCTCCCTATGAAAACGCTGTCCTGATCTCCTACAGCTGCCACTAAATGCAGCTATTTTACTGTCTCATTATGACAGGCGAAAATCTATCATAACAGCCCAATCTTATTAAAGCAGCAGACATTATACTTTACAACAACACCGTGAGTGTGAACGTTTGACAACATTGCTTCAGTAAATGAAAGTCATTTGACTGTGTTACGGTTTTTCTTAAGCAAGCAGCATTCCAAGATCTTAGTTTTTTTCTGGAATAATATCAGGCGCTAAACACAGGTGGGTTACTTTTACACTAACACACATGAAAGTCAATACGGCACCATGAGGAGCCCCGGATCCCCTACAGGGTGATTGCAAAGCAATGTATTCGGTAATGAATCAACTAAAGAGTATCGATCGACAAGCAGATCACATTAGCTGCGGTAGAATAAAGTACATGGGCTCGCAGAAACCCGGTAACGTTTCAGCGATGTAGGTTATCAGCTCGCCTGGTTTGTCAAATGATGCTATATAATGTGAATCAAGACAGAAGCAAGCTTGCTTTTAAAGAAATTTTGTCATATTTACTCACCCTCTTGTTGTTCCATACTATATGACTTTCTTCTGTTGAACACACTCATAGACAATATATATACACTACCGCTCAAAATTTTGGGATCAGTAAGCTGGAGTAATGGCCGATGGAAATTCAGATTTGCATCACAGAAATAAATTATATTTTAAAGTATATTAAAATAGAAACCATTATTTTATATTGTAATAACATTTTGCAAGATTACATTTTTTTTCTGTATTTTTGATCAAATAAATGCAGCCTTGATGAGCATAAGAGACTTTTAAAAAACATCACAAGTCTTACTGATCCCAAACTTTTGAGCGGTAGTGTATATATATATATATTTTTTTTTTTTTTTTAAATATCTCATTGGTTTTTTAGCTTCAATGTTATTTGGACCTTAACATTCTTGAAAATAAAATATTTTTTGTTCTGCAAAACAAAGAAAGTTATACAGGTTTGGAATGACACGAGAGTCTGAGTAAATTGTATATAAATATTTTTGTTTTTACAATTTTGGGTCCAATATCACTAAATATAAACATGCATACTATAAACACAAAAACTTTTAAATGTTTTATTTAAATGTTATTTTAAAACTAAATGAAACATTCCAAAAAAAATTAACCGTTTTGTCAGGTCTTTTTTTTTTATTTTGAGAATACTTACAGAAAACCAACAATGTAGAAAATGTTAGAAAATTTATTTCAGTTAACCTTTATTTTATTTCAAGTAACAAACATTGATTTTGAATACATTATTTAATTTTAGTTAGTTAAACTAAAATGAGAAATATCGCCTTCAAAACGAAAAAATAAAATAACAAGTAACATTTTTTTTATGGTTTTAATTTCAGTTTTAGTTTTAGTTAACTATAATAACCCTGTTATAGATCAATTTTTGTAATCCAAATATGTCTTAAATCTTAGTGATGTACAATTTGCAAATGAATCATTCATTTAAACCAATTCTCTTAAATGATTCAGCTCATCTGCAAAACATTTTTGGATCACTCAATTATAAAACCAGGTTGATTAAATAACTGCTTTTAAGAATGAACCATCCTGATGAACTGATCTGCTAAAATAAACATCTCAAACTCCCAATGCTAATCTCAATTTTCTCAATGCGAATCTGAGCCACAGACACTGCCGGCGTATCTGACGTTACTGCGACATCCACGACCTGTGTAGAATGTGGAAGAACCACAGCGCTGAACTCTGAGTTATGATTTTAATAAAGAATCTACTGTTCTCCAGGATCCCGTGCATCATTTGAATGGAATGATTTGTCTTTTCTGCACACATTCGCTTGACTTTTAGAGAAATTTAAAGCCGAAAGACTGCAGGTATTACCCAAGCTCTACACGATAACGGTTTCGCAATTCTCTTAGTTAATGGGATAAATCAGGCTCCGGTACCGACATATCCTATATCCTGTCTTCAATAACCAAGAAAAGTCAAAACTCCACAGGTTTAACACTATTCGATCCGGAGAAATCAATACAGGATATGAATGGACTTCATTACATTATTTGTTCTTGGGAGAATACTTTTGATGCGGCGCCGAATCCATGCGTCTGCTTAGAAACAATAGTGCGAGTGCCTACAGCGTTTGTGTTTACACCGAGACGCTTCGTGTCTTTTGAAGAGCCTGATTCTCTCATTCACTTCTTCCATGTCCCTTCAGTTCTGACTACAAGTCTCGCTGATTGCAACAGTTCGAATTACAGCGCATTCACTTTTTGCTTTTCCAAAAGGTGCTTCGTTCTCCATTGACCCGGGCCTGACCTGAATTCGACAGGCGTGCGGAGAACGAAGCCAAGCCAGGCCCGGTTGAGCAGGTTTTATCCTGGAGGATAAAACATGGCAAAGGATCTGGAGAGGAAGCAGCAATCAGATGGACGCGGTCTCTCAGCAGTCAGATGCTTTGATGTGTTTGAAAGGACGCGTGTGTTCTCCGCAAACTCATCTTCCAGATCCAAACCCCACGATTCACAGCTCTAATCCTCCGCTAAACCCAAAATATTAACACAAAAACACATTTCCTTTCATCGCTCGCAGGAACATCTCTAAAGCAGGAAAAGCATCACAAATAGTGATTATATTGTGTAAGATGAAATACAAATTATGGCTTTTTAAAGGCGGCGGATCTGTAATTGAAAGCATTATGATTCTATCAGGAGCCCAAGTTATTCTGTAATTAAATTTTCATATTAACTCAAAGGACAAATGTCTGAATGCAAAAAAGCTCTTCAGATCCCAAGTGTTCCCGGTGAACAGGTAGGAGAGGGAAAGACATTACCGAAACATTAAATCAACCCTTAAAAATAGTAAATGCATTTATTCAAAGATAGAGAATCAATTTGCATACAGATTCACTATTTGATTACTCCCTAGACACAAGCAAGCCACGATGTGGAGAGCTTAGAAACACTTTTCGATCTACAATCTAAATATTATGCTTAACTATACTGTATCTCATTTAGGACAAAGTTTTCTAATTAAAACTTTGTATACAGCTGAGACGAATGCAGGACTGACAATACCAATTAAAAGTAATTGCGTATCAATGCACAAACACAATGCACACCATGACAAATTGTGTCATAAACTACAACCATACTCTGACTTGAGTTGCATTGATTATTAATTATGGTGACGCCACACAACAAGCAACCTCTTCCAGGTTCTGATGATGAGTTTGAGCAGCGCTGTGGTTCTAATGAGCTGTATTTTATAAAGTAATAATGTTCTTTAATATGAATGAAGGCTATTATAAAGCAATATACTATTTGAGAGAGTGAGGAAAATCTTGCATATAAAAGTAAACAATTCAAAATAAAAATCAGACATGCAAAATGCATCTTTACTGCTTTAATACGCATTTTTTATATTTCATCAAACTCAATTAACATTGTTAACTTTTTCCCCCATGTACAGCCTTCTATGGTGGTCTTAATAATATAGAATCATCATTAGATCATATTTCACCTCATGTTTGTAAAAGTACATGGAATGCTTTCATGAAAAAGTCCACATGGCCTTTTTATATCAATATTATATCAATATCTTCAGCCCTACACCCAGCATTTTGTTCATTTTCAGCTTAATTTGAATGAAGTGCTAATATTAAACATGCTGATCTGATATTGCACAATGTCTTGGACTGAGACTCGACCACGTACCTGTAACACTGCGGCTCCTGCATGAAGGAACTGCAATCCGGATTCTGCAGAATCGATGCCCCCAGTGGCCAGAATGGGAAAACCGGGAAGAGCTTTCGCTATGGCGGATACTGCTCGCAATGCGATTGGCCGGATGGCATTTCCTGCACAGATGCAAGCAAAAACAATCGTAGAAATGTATTGTTATCCACTGCAACCACTTTTGAACTGTATTAAAATAAAATAAAATAAAAAATAATATAAAATACAATAAAATAAAAAAAATGTGAAGATCTCAGATCTCGGGTGGATGGTCTACAGCGGGTTCGTTAAATGGCATCTCACCCTCTAAAATTTCAGGCTGAGTTTCTCTAGGGAGCTCTGCGCCTCCTTACATTACACCCTTTATTTATTTACCTGAGCCGCAATGTCTTGAATAAAATTAAAACCTCTGATCTGATCCCGCTGACAGACGGGGCCGTTTATCACATTAGATTTAACTTCATTTCACTGGCAGCCTTTTTTTCCCCTCATTGATCAGTGGGAGACATTGTCTCTCCTCATTTGGCGCTGGTGTCACTAAAGACAAAGAGCGCGGGCCAGCGCTCTCTCCCACACGCTAAATGACCCTTATTAATGATACGGAGGACTCGCGTTAAAGGAACACCGTCTCAGTCCATCTTCTCTGAAGAAGCATGTAAAGTTAATGGCATTTCCATGTATATTACAGAACATGCGTAACAGTAGCAAATAATAAAAAAAAAACATTAGATGCACATTCATCCTATATAACATAAAATAAGGGATATTATGTATGGTAGTGAGGTTGGTTTCCAAAAAAAAAAAAAAAAAAAAAATCATGGAAAGAAAAATCCACAAATGGGATCTTTTTAACATCATAACTGTTTCCTAGACAGTAATGAATGAAATGGAAAGCATATGCTTCTAAGACTTTTGTTAACCACTTACTGTGCGCCCCTATTTTTGAGCATTTTCTGAAAAACGACATACCCAAATAAAAAGGTAATAAATAGCACAGACACGCCTAAACACGCCCTTGGGCCGGTGCGGGTTAATTAACAGACTTTTGTCTCAGACTTTTATTGTGAGTAAAAGACCTAAATAATCTCATACATATCTCATTTAGATCTTCTAAAAATCTCAACCATGTTTTAAACTGTGGTCAGAGTTGCTAAAATACCAACATTTGCAATAAAAATCAAGAGATTTTAATACAATCCCAAAAATGTCTCATTAAATTCGTACAAGATATCTACTGCAATTGCTCCTAGTTAGGGTTTAGGATTTCAAACACAGAATGTTAAGTATTAAACTTTTTACACCCACATATTTTAGATTAATCTATTCACATTCATTTTATTGAACTATACTCTTACTAAATGACAAAAATGGTCAATTGTTAAATTCTCTTAATTTGCTTCTGCTTTCATTTTTCTTGACAATTTTATTTTATTTAAGTGAAGACAAATAAAAAAATGCTTCACAAGTAAACTGATCTTGACATTGAAAATATTTTACTGGACAATTATTTAATTTTTTTAATTTTATTTGTATGTATGTATTTATTTATTTTTTGATGCGTATGAATCAGAATATCATAGAGAATACATAGTGACACCCTGACAACTGTCCACAACACCCTATACCATAGCGGTGGATTTTGCACAAACAAGCACTATATTTTCTTCATAAAATATATAATCTAATTCAAAATTATTATTGTGGTTTGTTTATAAGTAGCCACACAAAGCCCACACCTGATCACCCTAACGGACCATCCGCTGTCTTTCCTGACAGTCACATTAGTATAATAAGCAATTTCTATGAATACCTGATTTCATGTTACAATTATAGCACCAGAAGACGGTGAACGTGTGTCCTCATTTAAATGTGATGTAATCATATATATATATATATATATATTTTTTTTTTTTGCTGTGATGCTATGGAAGAACCATTTTTGGTTCCTCATAGAACCTTTCAGTGAACAGTACTTAAAAAGACATTGTATTTCTAATCTAAAGAACCCCTTTCCACTATAACGAACCTGAAAAAGGTTTCATGGATGTTAAAGGTTCTTCACTGAACCAACCATGCCAATAAAGAACCTTTAGTTTTAAAAAATGTTCTTCACACTAGGAAAATATGACTCTTTTTTTAAGAACTGTTCATTAAAAGGTTCTTTTGGGGAACCAAAAATGGTTCTTCTATGGCATTGCTGGAAAAAAAAGGAATCCGTAGAGTAATAAAAGTATTAAAAATGTTGTTCATTGTTAGTTCATGATACCAAATTCATTAAATAACAAACTGAATATTATTGCAAAGTGTTTCTAAATTTTCGTAGAGAAACATCTGAGATAGTGACGGTGCAATAAAAAATTTCCTCTAAAATGAATTTAAGTATGTCCACACAGTCAGTCTATCTTCTGCAACACCATTCTGTGCACAAGCCAATAAAAAACATTTGAAAAGCCATGTAATATACTGACACACATTCCAGTCTACTTAGTCAGGGGACACTTAGCAGGTCTGCCAGCTGACACTCAAATCTAATCCAGGGGATTTAAACGGAAGGAGGAACCATATTCAGTGGCCATGCAGGAAGCACTTCTCAGGAGGAGATACTGACACCTCTAATTGCATTAGAAATGGATGAGCTACTCTCAACGACTGCAGCTTCTCCACAGGTAGAACCCTGTCACCCCGGCGCTGTTTACAAACACGGGAAAAAAATAATTTGCTTTTATGAGACTCCGATGGAAAAAAGAAATGAAAAAGAAGAAGGGGAGGGGGAGAAAGATTGACAGATGGCATCAAACTCCATCACGACCCTCGTTTTCTTATTGGGAAACAACAAGCCTCGTTGATGTTGTGTGTTGTCTTGCAGAAACCATTGTCAGGTCACTGGAGGGTCTGTGTTTGGCGGATGGAGGGGGGAAGGAGAAAGCTTCTCATCTTTGGTCAGTCTGAGGCGCTTACTAAAACGCTGCACGTCACACCTGCTATTCCAATGAATAATTCCGAGCACAGACGGATGTACGGAGAAATCAGACAGGACACCGAGGCCTGGAATTTGGCATCATCAAACAAGAAGAAGAAGAAAGGCAATAGGAGAAAAAAAAAGTCACGTACAAGGAGAGGCAATTAGGGAAATACACACAGACCTGACCTATGGTATGATAATGAACATCCTGTCTAACTCCCTCAAGCGTACACACACTTGCGCAGACAGAGAATGCTGGGAATGGTAATTGAAGCTGAGGAAATATACAAGAGCTGTTCATTTGTATCAGAAGAACATAAGTTATTGACGCAGAGGGCTGCAGAAGGTTTCACCGATCTGTATTTCACGGACGAAACCGAAAATGCGGAATCAGATGTGAGAAGAGTTAGAAGTCACGGAGAAAGAGTCAAAAACGTAGATGAAAAGCAGGAGCTTGAGGGCATGGTGGAGACGTCAAACACGCACACCCATCATTAGCATACTGTGTTAATGACTAATGGGTAATGCTCACACTGAACACCAGAGAGAATGGCCGAGCTTCACTGGGTTTGCTGTAAATATTCCTCTTCTATATCTATATATTCGTATTTCCATAATTAATGGAACTTGCTCAGGCAAGTGATGCATTACTATTAGTATTGCTCAAACTTTTACATTCTTAATCAATTTAGCTTGTCATTGTCTGGTAAAAATATCAAAATAAAAAGCCTAAAAACTTAAATATAGATACATTTCCTTGAGAAGCAAAATTGCACAAGCTATTACAAGTTATCATACTGGGTTAATTACAATTAACCTAAACCTAAGTTGACTTGAGAAGCAAAATTGTATTACAGTTTGTTTTAGAGAATTAATTGCCCAGTAATTTTTAATAAATTGAAATAATCTCTTTGATGAAATGATGGCATTACATTTACACAATTATCCGATTAAACAAAGTAACGTGCCAGAATCTGCTGAAAAAAGCAGGGGCCACAAAACCATCACAGTCTCGGCAAAACGGCAAAAACCAAACTGCAAAAAAATCTGAAATTATCTTAATGCAGGTCACAATGACGCAACATGGATCAAAAATAGTCAAAATGTGTTTATAAACATGGAAAGAATGTTAACAAAGCATAATACAAGGCCTTTTGTATGGGAACAGTGGAAGCTGTTTCTGGTATCATTGCTTTCTATATAGTGGTCAGAGATTGATGCATAATTCAGAGATCTGGTCAGCATGCTGGGCGTCTGTGGTCAGTTGAGGCCAAAGCATGTTTTGAAGTGTGTGTCAACCTCAGCAGAAATGTCACAACACCACTGACAAAGCACAGCGCCTCCTACAGCTGAGAAACTCAAATCAAATAATGATTAATGAATGAGCAAAGGACAAAAAAACATGTTACACTTTACTCTGCGAGTGCAAAATTCAAGCATACCTTTGCTTCTTGGTACACTAGCTGTTCTAGACAGTGGCTGAGGTATTTCAAAGCTTTTTGGATATTTGGAGAAATGTAGCATTACATCACTTGCTCACCAATGGATCCTCTGCAGTGAATGGGTGCCGTCAGAATGAGCGTCCAAACAGCTGATAAAAACATCACAATAATCCACCAGTAATCCACACCACTCCAGTCCATCAATTATTGCTCTGTGAAGTGAAAAGCTGAAAATGTGGATTAATGTGATGTTTTTATCAGCTGTTTGGACTCTCATTCTGACGGCACCCATTCACTGCAGAGGATCCAGTGATGTAATGCTACATTCCTCCAAATTCCTCTACATCTTGGATGGTCTGAGAGTGAGTACATTTTCAGCAACTTTTATTTAAATTTTTGGGTGAACTATTCCTTCAACAGATTCAGTTATTAATGAACTTAATGCCTAAATCAACAAACACAATAAAGATTACTTAAAATAAGAACACAACCCTTATTATTAGCTGGATAGTAGCAACATAATGTTGCAGAAGTTACGGTACAAGTTAATACACAGTTCCCTTTCAGTCGGTCACTCTCGACGTCACGTCGGATGACCGACGAAATTGGGATCTCGCTTAGAGAGACCAATCTACTTCGAGTGTAAACTAAACGAGCCAATGCACATTGGCATGCGATTATTGCATCCAGCGGTCATCCGACGTGACGTCTCCGTTCC